CCCAGTATCTGAGACTTACTAACTTTGCACTGGTATGATAGCCCTGTGCCACACAAATGCATTTATTCAAGAACTCTAAAACTCTTCTTGTTCTGCTCCTGGTGTATTTGCTGCATTTAACAAGGTTAATCTTCACGGTCTTGCTTTGCTCAAGTAAATGCCCCTCTTCTACTCAACCTGCCTGAAAGTTTCCAGGCTCTGAATCAACAAGAAACAGTAGCTACTCGTTTTAATTCACTACTCAGCAAGCACCGTCGATGGATGCAGTTCTTACAGATGAGTCTGTGGAGCATGAAAACAAGCAAGTTCTAATGACAGTTACGAATGAAGCTGGTTTTCAGATGGTCCTCTTGCAAATGTATGCAGGCACTAGCCATAATGCTGTAACTACTGCATCTAATAAATGAATCAGCTACGTTTGGGATGCTGATTGTGCTTCCTGAGCTGTACTGACTTTTTCTGTAAAAACCACATGCTGGAAAGCAGATGAAAGCTATTGAACTGTACTGGTTTGGAGTGATAGATGGACCCTTCAGGTCAATAAAGAACCTGTTTGGTCAGTACCGCCTTCTGAGTGGCTTAAAGCATGCTTGTATGCTCTGAAAGACTCTTGGCATTAGCTGGCCATCACTTAGTGGTTGAGAGCTCTCTTGGTGGTCCTCTTGGCTGAAACTAAGCTGATAAAACCAGCCAGATGTCCTATTAACGCTTGATCTTTTGCTTTTTTAAGATAAGCCAATAAACAAGGTTATGTAACCAAGTTTTAACATAAGAGCTTTAATAACACATACTTTTAGAAATATATAAATATATTTAAAAATCCAGGCAATGGTAAGCCCTAGCTCATTTCCCCTATGGCAAGAAAACTCGAGTTGACCGGCCTGCTTTTCACTTTGAAATACTAAGAGCTGACAGGTGCAGAGGCTGGGAAAGCTGAGTTGCCGACTCAGAGCAGCTCCCAAACCTTGGTGGCTCTACCATTGTGGCTTGGCTTGGTGGGAGGAATGGATTTGAAGACCCTCCCAGGGGTTGAGAAGGCTGGTGTGCTGCTCGCTACTAGCCTGCAAGGAAGAGTGTAATTCAGGGTGACAAGCTGGTGTTCTTTCCTCTACACTAGCTGACTTCTAATTTTCTGACTGGAAATGTCAGTAAAATCAAGAAAAACACTAATGTGCTGGATCTTCATGTTGTTTTTTTCAGCATGAGAAAGGAAGGGAAAATAAAGAATTTTGTGTATGTTGCATTTATTTGCTGTATGTGGGTTCTACACACCTTCTGTAACAAGCCTGGTGCCTTGTCTGGCCTTTCCCTTTTAATGGAGGAGCTTGGCGAGAAATTGGGGAACCACTCTTAATAGCCAGTCCTGTGCACAGTAAAGGTTTCTACCTGCCGCCCTATGAATCTAAACAGCATTTAATAGATCTGAGCCTCCTTCTTAGCTGAAGGAAGGATTCCCTTACCTTGTTTTAAGTTTAGCAATGAATCAGCCACATCTTCCTGCTGGTTTCTAATAGGAAAACACTTCTAGTAGAAAAATCTTTATTCAAAGTAGGCTATGCTCATTTTGCCTTAGGTTAATTTGCTGAAGCTTATGAAGAGAATGATAAAACTCTTAGAGAACATCTCAGCTAGCTCAAGAGGTGAACTGGAAAACTTGTGAGAGCTTTTTGATGTGCCAGAACTCTGAATATTTGATTTCTGGCAGGGCTGACTGGTGCAGTTTTCCATGTAGGTTTTAGATTGTTTGAATTACATGCGTAATGAAGCACTTTGTAAATTATATCCCTCTGGGGGAGACTTGAGCTTGGAAAAAGTCAGGTGGAAGGTTTGGGTATATGTCTGAGGTGCTTATTTGGCTTTTTCCTTAGGGAGAAGTTATAAAACTAATTAACTTAATAGGTCAGAAGAGCATTTAGGTGTCTGGCACAGCGAGGTAGAGAAATGTAGACATTCTCCTTCTAAGCATCATGGTCTCTTCTCATCCTTTTGAGGATGTCTTTTTAGTCTCCCTGGCCTTAGGAATCTTCTGAGGGTTGATTATGAGATTAGCTCTAATCAGGGACTGAGTCCTTGCCCCTCATGTCCTGGCTATTGGTGAGGAACCGAACCTTCTTTCCTGACCTGTGCTCGATCCTGTAGAGAGCTTTACAAAACTTCAAAGTGATGTTAATCTGGCCATTTAATGTCCTCTTCTGCCTTTCTCCTCTCAAGCAGTCCAGTGTGTGCTGTGGCTTCCCTTCCTAAAAGTGGTTGGCGCAAATCCCTGCAAATCAGGGCAGCCTCATCTCATTGCAGGCCTTAGCATCATTTGTATCGATCTGTGGATATCCATCTTGGATCGCTAATGGGCGTCAAGTAGAAAAAGTAATACATTTCTGTTGCACTTGAATTCATCTCTCGCTTGGTTCCTTTGGACCAGCTCCAGGATCTTGTTAAGAGCAGAAGACACTGATCATCTTAAAGGATGGGAGGGGAATCCAACCGTTCAGGCACAACGACTTGTATCTCTTTGCTGTGAGTTGAGCAGTAAAGCCCACGGAGGAGGAGGAGGAGGAGAATTGAAAGAATCAATCATTCAAAGGATGTAGTTGTTTAAGATGTCTTGAACACTAGAGAATAACTGTGGTGTGTAACATCCAGAAGAATTCTTTCTGCTTCGTTAGCAGATGTTGGAGAGCACGTAAGAGACCCAGGTTCTTCCAGCACCTAATGATGCTTTTGCTGCTTTTCAGCAACTGAGCCCCAAATCCACCTTAACACAGCTCTTTCCTCAGTGCTAGAGACAAATCTGGGTTTCAGACCCAGCTGCTTCCATGCTCAGTGATCTTGCGTCAATCCTTGCAACTGTTTGAGGGGCTGTTTTGCCAGTTGGTTCTGGTGCATTCTAATTTGCAGAAGACACCTGTTCCTTAATTATCACCATCCTTCGTCCGTCTCTTTGTTTCGGCTCTTTCTGACGCATGAGCTATTAACATGATTTGAAGGAAGGCTGTGTTGAGCAGTGTGTGTTTTGGGAGAGGAGGTTAAAAGAGATTAGTGACAAATTTGAGATAATTTTTAGTAAGAAACTTGGTGTCTGCTTTGGTTTTCTCTAGGTGCTTGACCTACGTCACTCTTTAGTCTAAAGATTGTTTAGTCCTTTGGGGTTTGTGCACTATCCTAGGTCGGAGTGGCAGTCTGCAGAGGGGCAGGAGACTGGAGTTAAGCTCCTGATTAGAAGAAAGGAATAAGAGGGAGAAGAGTGAAAAAAGACTTTTAACTGGCTGCCTTGCTTCTGTGTTAAAACTGGAAGTATTTTCAACTGTTAAGGTTGTTTTAGCTCTTAGTCTTGTCAGTTATGTCTGTGTTGTAGTCTGTGTGATTTCAGTGTTTCCTCTAAGGATCCTCAATTGCTTCATAAATCTCCTTTTTTTTTTTTTTTTTTCTTCAAACAAAAAAATAAGACTTGGTGTAAATGATGGCCTCAGATCAGATTAAGTCTTCACCAAGCAATGTGTGAAACCAAGGGTTCTCTCATCTGATCCCCTTCTGGGTTTACTTTGGTTTTCTGAGAATATTTATGATGTGAGGCATTTCCAATTTGCCTTGCAGATATTCTGAACTGTCTCAAAAAAGGTTTCTTGGGGTTGTACTTGTCTTAAAATAGCTTGGATTCTGTTCTGCCGCTGACTCTTTTGAAGTCGACAGAGACCTTGAGGCTCCGCAGCTTGCCCTTTTGAGTCACAGTTCTTCCCTTCTGGTGACACCTTTCTTCAGAACTGCTTTAAGGAGTCATGGAAAAGAGCAATGTGTAAATATTAATGTTGAGTATTTGTCTTTAAAATCCCTTTGGATTGCTCAACAAATCTGCACCGTGTGTGTTGTGGTTCTCTAGATACTGGTTGCTTACAGATTTTGGACCTGTTACTATATTTCTAGCCTGCGCCATCCCATGGATGACAGGCAGGGCTCTCTCCTCTAACAGCTGTTTTGTTTCCCTGTCACAAGTAGCTTCTCTCAGTTCACGTTCAGACCTCAGTCAAGGTCGGTTGTCTTCCTGCAGTAAGGCCTTTCCTATTCTGTCTGGAGTAGGCAGGGCTCGATGCTGCTCAGTGTCGGGGCAGAGGTGAAGGTGCTGCACAGGACACCGCTCCTCTGGCCTGGGCTGACAGTGTGGTTGCCTTGTGTGCCCTGCTGGAAGAAACTCACGTGGGAAGCTGTGTAGTCCTAATTTTCAGCTTTGTTGGATATATTTTGTGACCCAGCTGAAAGAGATGCAACAGACCAGTACAGCAGCATACCCCAGTTTAATTTGCCAAGCAACACTGGTCTCTTAATATACATCTAGGAGGGCAGTGAAGAAAGATCCGTCTTCATTGACAGTACCTTTAATTTCCACACTGAATAAAGTTCTTTGTTATGAGTATCTCTTTGATTTCTTTTTTCTTCCTTATTTTGCACAGGGTTTCAGCTTCCAAGTCACCAGCTTAACTGTTGTGCTATAGTTTTCAGCTGTAAAACAAGCAACTTAAAGCATGGGAAAAAAATGTTCTGGGCAGAGCTGGCTCCATTGTTGTTGAGCCTGGGACACCCCAGTGCTACCCCATCAATGTTAATGTGTCCAGACTGGTCACAGCTATTGCTATTCAGACCTAAACTGAGCATGTACTTGGACAAAGAGGCCGCAGTTTAATATTTAATGTTCCATAAAGCTGCACTGAGAGCTTTTACTGAAGTGTATCAGTAAAGGAGTGCTGTAGCAGTGATAGCAAGCAGCTGAGAGCCAAGAGGATCCTGTGCACTACTTCTGCCTGAGGCATATTCTCTGATACCAAGCAGCTTGCTTGACCCCCTGTGTCTCAGGCAACTTGGCCGTAAAATTAAGCAACAGAGAAAGCACCACCACAGACAGACATGTCTGGAGGTGAACTTTCCAGGCAAGCTTCGCTTTACTGATAAATTCATCTTACTAGTAGAATTTCTGAATTTTAACCTGATGTGTGTTTTTGTTGTCCTTCCAGGCAGCATTCACTCTCCTTCTGGGTCCTTTCACCTTCTTCAATGTGCAGAAGACCAAGTATCTTCAAATCATGACCTCCCTCATGAGATGGATAGGTGAGTCTTGGCCACCTCTTTACCATAGATGGAACCTGAGTTACACTACTGATGCATCTCTTTGGCAAGATACTCTTGTTCAGCAGCAAGTGCTTGTCATAACAACCTCTTTGAGGAGGATTGTCCAGGCCTGATAAATCTCTGAGGAAAAGGAGTTTTTTTTCTAGAATGAAATTTCTGACTAAAACAAATCAAATTGTTTTCGATCACATGTGAGCTGGTAGACAAAGTTTTAATCTGGTTTGTGTGAGAGGCAGATTTGGAAGTCTCCTATGTGGGGTCTAACTGTGATACCCAGGAGTTGCTGTTCAGCAGTAAGTTTTTCATTCTTTCAGCATACGTACAACAGACTGAACAATCTTTGTTTCGATTGGAGAACAAAAGGCACTTCTGTTGGCTCTTCCACCCTTAGTTTTATCATCTGTTTGCATTTTTTTTTTTTCCTGGGCCTTGCTTTAGTGTAGGTTGTGCTACATTGGAAACCCCAAACTGATGTGTGTTGTCTTGGGAAGCCCCACTCTCATGATTTCTCTCCAAAATCTCATTGCCAAGATCTTTTAGGAAGACAGATAATTCCCTTAAAGGAAATAAGCCATTGCTACTGCTTTTTTTTGCATTGTCTTTGTCACGCAAAGATGCAGCTGCCTCACATCTGGCTTATATGTGTACATGCCCTTAAAGGCTGACAGGGGTGTTTGTGTTATGGAGGTTTATGTTGAGGTTTGTCTTGTTTTATGTAACCTAGACAGAGTAACTGACGTTCAGGGCTGACAGGGTGTTAACAGCAGCATTTCTGCAGGTCAGCAGTCTCCTGGTTCATGGGTCTAGACCATTCAAGCACAGAATTAGCTCTGTTTATACCTATCACTGAACTGGAATAGGAAGAAAAGCTGCTTCTCAGACTAACTATTTCCCACTGCACATGTACACTTGACCTGATTTCAGTTGGGTATCATCCCTTTTCTGTGAGTTCAAAGTGTGATCCTGTTTGGAAGCACTGGCAGTCACTGCAGAGGAGTAGAGATCCTAGAGAACATCTGAGATGGGGTTAAGCAGTTGTGACCCAGGAAAATGAGGCTGGATTTTAAGCCCTCAAGTCTCAGATGTTGAACAGCTTGAGCTAACAAATCCTGACCTCAGATGGTGTGAAAATCCTCAATGTCTGTTTTTCCCTTTTGTTGTCTGAGCACATGAAAGGTTTGAAAGACCCCATGTTCTTCAGAGAAAGAAGCTATCTCATTAAGGGATATTAAAGGAAGTTGTTGAGTTGGTTTGTTTTTGGTTTTTTTTTAAATAGTAGTCTCTGCTCAGCTCACTGGCCTGTTTCCAGTCATCCTGCCTCCTCTTTCCTGGTAAAGACATCAGTCAGACCTCATCCTGCCTCTGACAACCTGACACCTGCCTGATCTGCTATTGGTTTCACTTTAGCCTGCTCCTTCCAGTATGAGGATCGCTAAACCTTGGCGTAGAGGCAGAACTCTTTCTCTTTTTCATCACTTGATGAAAAGGGACAAAGACAGTGTTTGGAGAAGTATAGGGAAAATTCATGCTTTAGCCTGATTGATTCCTGCTTCAGCATGCTGGGGAACAGCTGCCCCAGATAATGATATTTAATGACCCTGACAGCACCTCCGTGGCTACTTAGAGCAACAGAATCCGTATGTGTACAATGAGGGATAGATTTATTAGGAAAGACAGTTTATCAAACAGCCATGCAATGCAGGGAACAGAGAAAAGCTCTTGCTGCAGATTCTGGGATAAGGATGGACCCTGAACTGCTGCGATTCTCCCGTGGCTTCTCCCATATCCTCACATCACTGGTGTCCCCTCCTTCAGAAGCAGGGCTGTGAGTTAAACACAGGTTGGTCTTTTGTCAGTGCATAGAGAGCTTAGATCCTGAAGAATGGTCTTGGTTGGTGTTTTGTGGTCTCCTGAACTTTTCCTGCCTGAATGCCAATGGCTAGATGTGGATTCTCTGTCCTACTATAATCTGTGCCTTTTCTTCATGTCCCTTTAGTTGGTTTTAGCCGTGTGGTGCTGAAGGTGGTTCTTCTGCAGAGCACTCTGCGCAGCAGAGCTCAACAGTAGAACTGCCAGCTTGCCCGTTTGCTGTGCTGTAAAAACTTCCCACATGGACAGTGGCTTATTCAGCTTACTAGTGCCCACTGGCCTGATGTGGATGGGAAGCTGACCCATGCTTTCATCATGATTCAAAAAAATCAAGCCTACTTGAGCTGAGAGGTCAGTACAGGCTTTGTGACGTGCCTGCTGTGGGACCCACTGTACACTCTTTTCTCCACCCTGGTGAAAAGCCCCTGGATTTCAGAGCAACCATGGCTGATGTAAAGCTGTTCTGCCCCAGGTGTACTGGTGATTCAGATGACAGTGGCTGAGAGGATGGTTCTTGGCAGCAGGGAGAGCTAGCTGTGTGTGAAGGTCACTTCTGCTGGTGTTTGTAACAGTGTCAGCCTTTGCCTTTGGAAGTTGCTTTCCTTCTTTCTCCTGATCTAAGTGATAATCAAATGTCACTAGCCTCTTTCCAGAGCCTTGTGCTCATTGCAAGCAGCACATGAGCTAACAAAGTCTTCAGCAATCTCTTTCCACACCTCGTGGACAAAAAACATTTCATTCTGTCTCTGAAAAATGCAGTCTTAAACACCGAGATCTGAACTGGAAATTAAAAATAGATCAGTTCAAAGAACATGGAGATGCGGTGGCAGGGATCAGCCCTTCATCTGGCTGTGTTTTTCTTCCCAAGGTAAGGGACTAGCCAGGACAGTCACCTCTGAAGTCTCTAAAAGGAGAAAGTTGAAGGAGGAGCTTGCAAGCCCAAATGCTGTAGGGCTAGAGAGCCCAGACAGATGGGCTCTTGCTGTCTGGGCCTGCTGAACACGGAGAACTCATCTGGAAACAAGAGTGGCATGGCGAGACGTTTCCCTGTCAGGACTGATAGGAGCACAGAGGGTGGATCTGCGTCTCCAGTTGGAGTGGGGCTGGTGGCAGAGAGAGGGCTTCCAGAGGCATCGAGCTGTTGGCAGTCTTCTGAAGAGTAACAGCTTACACACTTGGCTGCAGAACTGATTTGTACCTCGCATGGGTGAGTGCCAGTGGTTAAATTCAGTGCAGCAGTTGGTGCTTGAACTGCTGGCCTTATCTGTGCTTAGAGATCTCTGTTCTCTCAGAGCTGGCAGGTGTGTAAGGCTTCGCCTACACCAGCTTTAGTCCCTTTCCCAACTGTAAAAGCTCCTCTGGCTGCTTTGTCAGCCCTCTTCTGCTTGGGCCTGAACTGCCCTGGGAGACTGAGCACAGGCACCCTAAGGGGCATGACAGGGAGCCTGTCTGATGTGCTTCCATGGAAGAAAGGGCTAGTTGGGAAAAATCACTTGTTTTAAATCCTAATAATAGTGCTTACAGTGAATTGAGTTAGGGATAAAACCTTGCTGGCTCACCCAGCTTGTGAGCAATGCTATTAAGTGCAGAGACAGGGCCCAGACTGGTTGACCAGGTAAGTATGAATCATCCCCTTGGGGTGAGGAGGGTTCCCTCCCCAAACTGTAATTCCTTCCTTTCAGCTCCCTTCCACCTCAGCCTCACAAAACTGTAGCACTGTTATTAGCCCAAGTCCTTTACCAGTTTCAAAGCCTCTTTCCAAGTCTCTTACAAGGTTCTTGGAACAGGGTGTCTCCTGCAGAAGGCTAAACCAACTAAGCCATCAATAAATTAGAACTGTTGGTATTTTCAGTTCTGTTCTTTGGACTTCAGGCTCTTTTTTCCTGGAGGGTTTAAATCTGTGGTGGTGATGGATTGCTCCCTAAAGAGACTTGAATATCTAGCTGTTTATTTTTCCCCTCCTTTCTCAGATCCTGATCAAGTGGGTGGTGTTAGGGGTGAGCTGCCGGAGGGCACGGCATGGCAAAAAGGACTGAGCCAGACAAGTCCAATGCACTTCTCAAAACAGAGGACACAGCTCGCTGGGACACAGCCCTACCTCTTTATTATTGGATAATATTGGATAATAACTATCTAGCAGCGTCATGGGAAAGGATATGGATTAGGAAAGATAACAAAAGGACAGGGCTTGGTGGAGCTCAGCAGCAAACATCGGGCTATTGTGTATTAAGCAGCTAACCCGATTAATTGCAGCCTGTTTCAGCCTGAGCTGCCCAGCTCTATAGGTGAGGACTGTTGGCTTTAAAGACATTGGTAGCATGATTATCACTGTTGTTATTGAATAGTCTCTGGCAAATGTCTCCCATGTGGGACATTTGCTCCATGTGCTGCTCTTGATGCTGTATTGTAGTTATTAGAAAATATTGTATTTTAATAAAGAGACATTTTATAGAGGAATAAACTTCTGGGTTTGGTTGCTGCAGGCTCAGTTCTGTCTCCCTGTAGCACAGTCAGATCATACCATATCTACTGAAGTAGCTGCGGCCCTTGAGACAGAGCATTCCCAACCCTGCCTAAACTATGATCTCACAATTGTATGTCCAGAAATAAAATCTCTCCCCTAGCTTTTTCCCCTGGCCAGTAAGATGGAGGGGGAAATGGACAAGAACAGCAAGAAAATCTATGTAAATATCTTTCTCTGTCCCGTCCCCTTCCAGGATACTTGGTAGAAGGTTTCTAGGGAAGAAACTTGGAAAGGGCTCTCCAGAGCATGCTGGTGAGGCTGACCTTCAATATCTACTAACTTCTCTGGTAGTTCTGCTCTCCTCCAGAACCCTGCTCTTTACAAGACTCCCCAGCACTTCTCTGGAGAGGACTGGTCTCACTTTGAGCAGGTTTCAGCTGCTGCAGTAACTGTTGCTGCCATCCTTAGCAGGCTTAACCAGCCCTGCTGGAGCTGAATCAGTGCAGAAACCCAGAGTCACTCTGCTGTGTCCTTTCAGCTGCACAGAGAATTATAGAGGAGGCTGATATAGGAGGGGGTGACACTTATCTGAAGTCCTCTCTTTCTAGTCTCCTGCAGAGAGATTTGTCTGCCAGTGTCTACGTTC